AAGACTCTAGATGTATTCTGACCAGCATAGAAGGCAATCTGCCTGTGTGTCACCTCTTCTGAGCTGAACCTTAATCAGGATCCCAGGGTCAGACAAACCTGAATCAAAAATCTTGTTTGGTAAACCACAAATTCCACGACTGAGCAGATTATTTGTCCCTTTGAGGCTTTGTTTCCTCAAACGCAAAATGTACCACTTGGTGCTGTTAGGAGGATTAAACTAGTTAAGATAGTGTTTAAAACAATAAATGCTCAAAATTGATGGGTTTTAATAGTATTGTTCTCTTTTTTTAGTTTCTTTCTCATTTTAGTATATATTTATGGTACATAATAATTACATTCATGTTGGGGAATTGGTAAATATACAAGTCAAATCTTAGTCAATTTTACTTCCCTCACCTCCTTCCCATCCCCTCATCTCCAGAACCCTTTCTCATCTCCACAAACTCTACCTCCCTGTTTTCTATCATTTCTCTTTTATTTTGCTTTTGAAATTTATTTATATTTTGGGTTTTTCACATTGGAGCAACTATAATGGCACTGATACTAAGCATGCGGTGAAATAAATACTTAAAAACTTTCCCCCACATAAATAAATAGCATGTCAGATTTCCTCCTATTTGTTCCACTGTATTTTTGTTTTAACCTAAACACTAGGTTCCAGATTTATCCTGCTAACATTTTGTCTTGCAGATTTCAAATTAGCATTCAAAGCTGTTGGATAGTTCTGAATTTTGATTCTGTCTTTTATGGTGTTAGTTATGCTCTCCAACTGTTACCTACAAATTCGATCAGCATCTCTGTGCTTGCATCTGACTCGTGAAGTTAAAAAACAATCAAACAAACAAGAGTTTGCATAGGACAAGGACCAGAATAACACTGGGGAATTTCTAGCTGACAGAGTCACTAACTCATTTTTTCTTTGGGTTCGAAGACAAGCTTGGTATCTGCTTAACAATGTTTTCCCTTAGGAGACTGTAAAATATTTTTCCAAAATAAAAATTCATTGCATCTGTTATTCTCTTGAATTTACTATGTGTATAACCTTAGTAAAGAGGAAGAGGTCCTTATAATTTTTTCTTAATGAATCCTCATTGGCTCCCAATGATCACTGAGTTCAAGGTGAAATGCCTGAATCCACGTGCTTCCCAGTCTTCAAGTGTGTGGGAGGGCCTGAGTTCACATTCCTGTATACTCTATGCCCTATCCTCTTGCCCCTAAGCAAAACGTGAGAGTTTGCCAGTCTCATGTCTTTGGGTGTATACCTCATTTGTTTGTGCTTTTCTCCAACTTTAGCCATAGTAGTAGCTCTATGATTTTATCAGCAGTTGCCAATAGAGAGGTAATTTTACTAGGGCTCCTTTCTGAAAGCCCTTGACCCATTAACAAGCCCCTCTCTCTTTTTCTCCCCAGCCCTACTTACTCCACCCAAGTCAGTAATCAGGAAGGTGTTAGCCATAATTCAGTAAGTGGTACCTAAACTCTTCATGTACCAGTTGCATTTCCTAAAATGTACAATCAATGATCTCTTTTCTAGATTGTCAAGTCTACTGTAGCCCACTTGGATTATTCTGTGCAGGTAATTTTTAGTCAGCTTCTACTCTCTGAGAACTGGCCCCAGAAATCATGAGAACACAATGCCTCTTCCTAGACTTGGGAAGCCCATACTTCCTCCCACTCATGCTTCAACAAGAACCTACCTGATAACAGTTTCTTAATCAGAATATTCAGCATTGCATTACCATACTGTCTTCCCATCCTGTCTTCTTGCTAGTCTGTTTCTATCCAAATCCAAACCCCCTTTGCATTTGGGTCCCCCAAGCTCCAAGCTCTGAGCAAACATAAACCAGTGCTTATGGAGACCACATTATCATCTCAAATTTACCAGATCTGCTATACCTCAACTGCTTAAGGAAGGGAAACTGTACACATTTCTGTTTCATCTCTTTCAGCCTTTGCATCAATTTGAAAGGAGGTTCTGGTAAGGTAGGGACCACCAGCTCCTCTGAAGAGGCCTGTGCTCTGCCCATGGGAAAGAAAGATGGAGCTTTTTCAAGTACTGGTTAGTAGAGCTGGGCAGCTACTGTAGGTTTGTCACTTGTAGGGCAAGAAATCCTCACAGTTATGGAGGTTGCTATCCATACACCACAGAGGAGCATAAATGTGGTTGGTCCAGGTACAGTTGGGTGCACACATTCAAGATCAGACATTATTGAGCTTTCTGGATTTACGAATGGGATCCAAAAGGGAGAATCACAGGCCACTAGTCAGTGTGTGTAGGATCAGTCTTGGAGCTGCTCCTCAATACCAAGTGCCTTGAGTCTCTGCAACATTGAGGGAACATGGGCTTTGAGGCCAAACTCAGAAGGTTTGCAATTTACCTCTGCCATCAATTAGTTGTGTGGCCTGGGGAAGTCATTTAACCTTCCTAGATTAATGCCCATCTCCTACTGTGGCTGTGAGGGTTAGATATGTTTAAATGAGCTACCAGAGTATAGTTCCCAAAGCAGGGCACAGAGGAGGCCTTCTGTAATCAATCACTCCTGCCGCTACTCCCGTTTTGGCCAGGCTCTTCTGCCATCAGAGAATTAGTTTTCTCTTTGGCTGTTTGTCTCTGGTTGTTTGTGTGCTGAGCCTCCCCTCAGTTTCAGTCCTTTGATAGTGATTTTCCAATAGTTCTATAATAGCTTTCATCAGGAAGACAGATGTTCACAAAGAAAAATGCATGAATACAATTCTAAGCATGAGACTATGAGATTAGGGAACCCAGGTATAAGGAGGAGCCAGGTGTCGGGGACTGGATAAAAACAGAAGAGTTATGAATAGAGGGAAATAATAGACTTCCAAGGTAGCCCAGGAAATGAACTCAGGCCCCTGCAGAACTCTGAGTCCATTTGAGTCCTAGGAATAGTGACTAAACAGGGACCAGCAAACCTCTTTCTGTTGGCTTTAGAAGTGATGGAGCACCCATAAAGGAGGCTGCATTTGGAAGCATAGCTTTGTACACGTGGTTGCCATGTGGTAGCCCAGCAGAGCTACTGCTTAGGAGCAGAATAGCCAGGATGGATGATGTAGCAGCCAAAGGTGCACCATACTCTACCCTATTGATGCTTGGGAACCTTCTGTGCCCATCTGAGGGAGTAGGACCAGGGCTTAGCCTGCATGCCTTTTGAAAGAGACCTCTTGCCCAACTCAACCTAGGGCACCATTGGATATCTGCAGACTTCAAAGTGAGATTCCTCCTTTAAACCCAATTCTGTATCCCTGTCATCCTGACTTTACTTTCAAGTTGATATGACCCTGTTTTATCCACAGGGTTCAGAGGATGCCTGGAAAATGACCTTATAGTGGCTCCTGATGGCAAGAAGTTGATCTGGAGTGGATGGAGAGGCAATGTCAGAAGCTTGAGGTAGAGGTAGGAAAGCAGAAAGACACAGAAAGCCCTTGGGGTGATTCTGAGGTGCCCTGGTGGTCAGGTGTAACTTTGCCTTCCAGACTGGCAAAGTTGAGGCCCTGACTGGAAGCAGTAAGCATGGATCAACCTGAGTGAAGGCACATGCAACTTCTGCAGCCAGATGGAGTCCAGACCAGGATGTAAGAAATGAGAGGACTCTGTAGGGGTCCTCCCTCAGAAATGAGTAACAAAGGAGGCCCAGAATCTGAGGGGGATGAAAAGGACTTATTGTACCAGGAGCTGTGCGTGTAGACTCAGAGAAGGCCCTGATTCAGATGTTGGTTGTCAGGTTTTCCCTAAACACCTTGGAACAGTAGCTGCAGCACAGTTCCAGCGATCAGCCCATAGTTTCTCCCAGAGGCCACTGGTCTCAAAGCAGCCCAGCATCCAGGGACTTGATCCTCTACAAACACTTAGCTGGGTCTTGATCTTGGACTAAAAGCCACATCTACAGAGTGCCTCTGTACTGCCAAACTAACACTGTTAGCACTGGGACACAAGTTTCTTGCAGCATAGCTGCTGCTTGTGAGAACTGGGTGTCACTTTCCTGCCCCAGGTGACCTTGGAAAGGAGCAGCAGTCTGGTCTGTGAGAGCTCTGACCTTGGAGTACACTTTCCTGTCCTGAAGAATCCCCCAGTAAGGTTGTGCATCATGTGTGTGCCTTGAGGTCTGTTTACGGGGCTCACTGCTAAGTGACCAAGATGGAAAGGGCTTACACTGGGGCCTCGGGATGGAGGGGAGATGTAGCTTATAGAGAAAGCCTGGGACAGAGCACAGTAAAAAGAGCAGGGGCAGAGTTCAGAGGGGATCTGTGGAATCCCAAAGGAGTTATGTAGAAACAGAATACATCTGCAGTAGGAATCTAAGTGTCCCACTTCTGGAGGCAGGAAGGGGGCCCAGCCCACCTGGGGCAGGACCTGTTTTGGTCCCTGCAATGTTGTAATCACACAGTGAGAGAAACAGTTCGGATGAGCTTTATGTTGTACATTGGTGAAGAGAAATTTTATTTATGAAAATGATGTCTATATATTGGTTTAAAAAGAGAAAGCAGGGTAGGATAATGAGTAAGAAAAACTTTTAAAGGCACAGTTTAAAAGGCAAACATTCAGGAGATATCCCAGCTCTTTGGCCTCTTGGGCTCTGCTCTTTTTAATTCCCTGCCTCACGTTCTGTGGCTTATTTGTGAATTTGGTTAACACATTCCCCTGCCACTCAATTGAATAAGATAAGGCAGAAGATGTTAATAAAGAACCCTCCATCTTTTCCCACTGAGTCCGATTTCGGGATTCAATGACTTGCTAAACCCAATCTTTTCCTGGTGTCCTGTATGGGCTTTTCAAGGCAAAATGCAATCTACTCCTCAGGCTTCCAATGAGTCTTGTCAAAGGGCAGATGGAAGATGGGTCAGGAAGCTTGTAGTCCCGAGACTGGTAAGTGACTTGCTGTTGGATTAGCCAACAGCACTGAGGGCTCTTTGTATACCCTAGTCTGCTTGATTCAGTGGCTTTTCCAGGGGTCAGCTGGTGAATATATGCTTTCTACTCACCTCGGCCTGTGCTGTAATGCTGAAGTTTGTCACTGTACACAGCCTCCTTGCTATAAGCTCGTTTCCTGTGGATATAGAAGAGAAGTCTCCTCTCAGCAGGGATCTGTCCAGGTCACATGTTCAGACAGCAGTTCACTCTAGGAACTGGGGAACCCTCACTTTAAGGGTTTGATTCTTCTCTGTCCAGCATTCTGGTTGACTACTACTCACCAATGTGGGCAGATGGCTCTGCCTTCAAGTCACCGTCTTACAGAAGCCTGGCTCACTATGGGCCCCAGCAGGAGGATAGAGGCGATGAGGGTGCCCTTCAACAATCAGGTCATACTGCAGAGCTGCTCAGCAGGGAGTAAACTACAGGGATTTGCAGAAAGTACATATCTGGGCTAACCACCCAAGGTTTTAGCAAACAGTATTAAAAATTCACAAGGCCTTCAGGGCCAGGCCTTGTATAGAACTTGGAGTTCCTCTTTCCTCCTCCATACCCACTCTCCTGCCCGCCTGCCTTTTGCTTGCCACAGAGAACTGAAGCTCTTTAACCAGAGGATGTGCTGTATGTCAGCTGTGATGCTCTGTTGGGTCAAATGCAATTTTATAACTGTCACTCTGAAAAGCTGCTGTGGGGGGGGGAGTCAAAAGTCTGGGCTAAAATGAGGTTGGAGGATGGATGCTGTTTATTCATACCCTTCCCCAGCTCCCAGAGTATTTTATCCCAGGCACAAAAAATAAGTAATCTGGAGATTTCTAGGCGGCCCATGGATTGAGATGGAGTGAACATTGTGATCATGAATGGTCAGGCCCTGTCTGATCTGCACATCCTGGAAAAGGATGGCATTGGGGGAGGGGCACAAGAGAAGGGCATCCAGAGAGGGGTCTAGTGGGTCCCAGGGGGAGAGATGAGAGTAGAGGGCCTACCTGCTGCAGACGATGGAGATGGCCACCAAGGACACGACAAATACGACCCCGGCTGCTGCTGAGCCAGCAATCAGGGGTAACTGCTCCCTCAGCTCCGACTTGTAATCATCTAGGTGAGAAAGTGGCATTAGAATCCTCCACAAGAGCACTTTCCATACAGTTAGCACTCAGCACATGATACCAAAGAATATATATGCTACAGTTTCCATGCTTCTGAGTAATCTCTAAGTCACCAATAAATAAAAGCAACCAAAACAAAAAGACAAAGAGTACAATAAGCAAAATAACAGTGATGGGGGAATCTGGGAACTTGGAGCTGACACTTGTCTCTGGAGCAAAGATGACTCCCAATTTCCACCTCTTCATTCAAAGATCTCTCAAAGGAGAGTCAGCTATCTAAGGAGAAGTCCAATGGAGAGGAAATGAAAACTGCTGCTGAGGGATCTCCAAAAACATGAAGCTGTTGAAATGCAGCATTGTCAACAGAGTCATTGAGATGATATTTGAAATTATTTGCAGTCAGCCAGCACAGTACCAGGTGCTGTGGAGGATGAAGAAATGCTCAAGAAATAGCCCAGCACTCCGAGTTCCCACTTGACAAGAAAAGGATCAAGGTTTCCACCAGATGTTAAAACCATGCTGTATTATAGAAAAGAGTGGGAAGCCCATGGGTCACATAGGCAGACAAAGCTTGTCCAAACCCTGGCATTTCCAAGTGTAATCTTTGTGAGCTTGGGCCAGTGATTTAGCCTCTCTCACCCTCAGACCTCTTGTCTGTTGAAAAAAATAAAAAAGATCAAACTGTGTGAATATTTCAGTGTCTGATTTATCATAGATGCCCCCAAATACTAATTCTCTTTTCTTTAATCTACATAAACCACTTGGCCCTGCTGGTCATCATTACTATGGTGGTTTTCCATTCACTGATATTAAAGAGCCATTATTTAATGTTTGACCCCAGGCAATGGGGGATCCAGCTCTTTCTGTTCTTTTATAATTAGGGTGTAAGATATAGCAAATAAAAATAAAAGGCTACCAGTTCCATTTGAATTTCAGTCAAACAATGAATGGTATTTCAGTAAAAGTATGTCCCGAATACTGCATGAGAAATACATATATTAAAACATTATTTACTATTTACCTGAAATTAAAATTGAACTTGTCATCCTATATTTTATCTGGCAATCTTTAGGATGATCCTTATTAAAGTGAAATTCCCCATGACAGGCACCAGGATTCCATGAGCATAATTGGTAAGCAATTTTTATTTCTGGCCCCTCCTGAGATCTGGATTATAGTGTCTAGTGAATCGCAGAATATCTGCATGTTTCACCAACACTTTGGGGGGCTGTTATGCTCTGCAAGGTTGGAGAAAGAAACTTCCAAAAGCAAGGCTATTGGTTTGTGAAGCTTCTCACTCAACAGAGATCAATTGCAAAGACTGAGGGTAAAGTTTCAATTGCCTTCAACTGAGAGTTTTCTGCAACCTGTGTGTTATGGTTTGTATCTAGATGCCCCCCAAAGCCTCATGTGGGCATTGGTGGGGCTTTTCAGAAGTGGATGGATTTAGGGAATATGAATGTGGATCAAGGGTGTGATACTGGAATTAAAGGTGTGGATAAAAGAAGCCCTGCCCCAGGTGTGGGTGGCACCAATCAATAGGCTTATAGCCTGGACGGGATATAAAGGGACAGAAAGAAGCCTGGCTTGCTGCTGCTGCCTGCTGCTTTGCTGTCTCCTGAATGCTTTTCCATGGGCTATTTTTTATCTGCGATGCCCCTCTGCCATGCCACCCAGACCTGGGGCCAACTGACTGTAGGCTGAAACCTCTACAAACTGTGAGCCGAACTAAACCTTTCTTTCTTTAACTTTGGGTGTTAGGTATTTTGTCTCAGAGATGACAAAAGTAACTAAGACAATGTGTACTTAAAAAATAAATAAATTTACCCAAAAATAAAGGACAGGGAATCACAATGAGGAGTCTTTAACAATGGCTTATAAAATTAAAAGCTTCATAAAGCAATATGAAGTCTGAATGGTTTAAAAAAATTTTGTGCACCAAGTCAAATGTCAGCATAACGTAGCTCAGAACAGCTGGGCCCACAGAGGCCATGCCCCATGCGGTGGTCATTCACATAAAGTGCGGCCACTGACCTGGGTAGGAATCCCACACAACCCCATTACTGATCAAGCTTCAGACTCACCTTTGCACTTCAGACGGACCTGCAGCCTCAGTGAACATAATCACTACCATCATTAAGATAAATACTCCGAAATTTGGCCACTTACCAGAACGCTCTTATATCTAGCCCCTCTTGGGTCTACAAAACTTAACTGCCAAATGTAAAAGGAATAGCCTTCTTGGGAGAAATTTGTTACTTCTTGATTTGTCTAGCAGGATTGCCAAGAGACCAGTGCTCAGAGCATTTTGAGTTTTGGGCTTTTAATCCTGTATACCTTCTGATGCCAAAGTGCCTATAAATCTAGATGGTATGTGAGGTGCAAAGAGGGGGACGAGTCCTTCAGGGCAAAGCAGAATGCCTGCATTCTTTTCATCCCAGCACCATTATTAATCTCAATGAACTGGCTCACCTTTCTACCCCATCTCACCATCCTTGATATATAAGAGAAAATTCACCTAAAATAAACTCAAAACAGGCTGGAAACTTCAATCCCATAGGGGCTGGACAGCTTACAGTAAAGCACCCAGGTATGAATCACTGGAAAGCAGGGGCCACCATCTGGGGACCCCATCTGGGGCAGCTGCTACTCTCCTTACAGCAGAGTTCTCACACCAAAACACTCTGCAGAAATTTTAAAAATTGTTAAAAAACATATAAAGAGCCAATATAAACTTCAAGCCCTACGAAACACCCAGCTGAAGTATGTGGGCCTCAATTTGAATGTTATATAAAAACAAGACGTTTTTCTATGTAAGTTAACTAACAAAGGAAAAATGAAAGGCTTTCAATTTGGGGAATCAGGAATAGGTTGACATTTGGAGAATTATCTGGAAGCAGCTTATAATAAATCAAAATAGACGAGTAGATAGGCAGACAGATGAATAAATATATAAACTGTGATAAGTGACTAGCTCTGAAAAGAATGGTGGAGAGTCAGACAGACTCATGCACAATACTAAGGCTATAGAGAATCAGTTTTAGAACTAAGGAAGAAAGTGGTGTCAAAGAGCTAGGGAAATGGTTATAATATGGCATCAGTAAAGGTCCAAAATAAAAGATTTTAGGGGCAGACTCTGTCCTGGCAAAGAATTTGGCTGTTGTTTCTGGAGACACCTGAGCAGGATCTACTGCAGGTCATTTGTGAAGTTGCTCTAAGTGTGCTGAGATCCCAGGGGTATAAGACTGCCACACCCTAAATGTTGCCTATTTCCTTCCTGGAGACCCAAGCTTATGCATTTAGGCTGTGAGCTCAGCTCCAAACCCCAAAGTACAAAAGAACAAGAAGGGAATGAGGATAAAACAGCACAGGCGCCTGTGCCTCCACACAGAGGCAAGAGAGAGGGCATAATGAGACATACTTGGGTCTCTCTATAGTGCTAATGAAAAACCACTGTGCTATGTGTGGCACAGAGCCTGTTGAGGGAAAATCAGAGTTTAGGTCAACCCCCATCAGAGGTTAGGAGAGAGATTAGCCAGAATGCAGAGAAGACACAGGCACCAATCAAGTCTATGTGGCTCTCCTGGGAGGCAAACCCTTCAGAGGTCTTGCATTTGGGCCATGACCGCAGCTGCTTCAAGGCTGCTCCTCACCTCACTGCTTTTCCTCTACCCCTACCCCTGCCTTCAGCCACCCTCACCCCACCCCATCTTACCATCTGTCAGAGTCTGGAAACACATCTTGCCACTGAACTTGCCGTAGCCAGCCACCGTGCGGGCGCGCACCTGCACCACATACACCATGCCAGGCCGCAGCCCATCGATGCGGGCCGTGTTGGTCTGGCTCCTGGCCATGGAGGAGTTGAACTCATTGTGCTCCTACAGAAGAACAGGGAAAGGGGTCACCAGCCTGCTATGAGCACTGCAACCCCCGCTGTGAGGCACTCAGGCTCCATCAGTTCTCACTCTTACACATCTGAGAGAAGTTGTCTCCCTCTGAATGAGGAAAGTCAGGCCTGGGCCAAGGGCATGCAGAATGAGCTTTGAACAGGATGGTAGCTGAAACAGCTGAGCTCTCAGGGCCTGACAAGGGGGCTCATAGTCATTCCCTACCCACACTATCCAGCTTTGCACAGCCCTATCAAACTCTGAACTCAGCAGAGGCAAATCTGGCAGCATCCCTGTGCTGCTCACTTGCTATTATCTTGTTTCTGCTGAGCTGCAGTCTTTTCTGTTCTTTCTCGAGATTCCTGATTCACTCCTGAAGTTTCTTCAAGTGCTGGGGCAAAAGGCTTTACTTCTGAGCTGAAGCAGTTGCCTCCCCACTTCTTCTCCTTAGCTGTCCTCTACCAGCATCTAAGGAGAACATGTCTCTTCTCACTTTTCCTTACCCCCTGCCCCACTCAAGTGGTTGGCCCCACTGTCCTGTCTCTTTCTCCTACACTTTCTGTCCCGTCTTCTGTAGTCCTTGTTATTTACATATATGTATCCTCTGCTGTGAGCAGACTTGTTGGTATTTTTTATCTTGCCTCTTCTACCTATCATGAGTACTTTTAAAGAGGTACTTTCTGTCTTTGCTGGTGATCTTATGTAACATAGGATTGGTGCCTGGAATTCTGTGAGCTCCCATCTTTTCTAACGCTTTCTGAAAAGTTCTCTTGGCTTTCCCTAAAGCTATTGTATAAATAAGAAACTGCTAAATCTAGGTTTACAAGCCCTTCATAATGAAGTCAATTCTACTCTCTTGATTCTTTTAAATCTGTGGCCTTGCTGTCTCTCCAGAGACAACACCCTGCCCACTAGACCGTCCTTTAGCCAACATTTCCCAAGGCTTGTCACTGCTGTAGCCCATGGACTCTTTTCATTGCTGTATTTCTGACTTACGTCTCACTCTCAGCCCCTTAGATACCAGCCTGGTCTCTAATTGTTTTTGTGTGAACATATCTTTTCTCTGCAAAGCTGCTCCAAGTGTGGGCTACCTCCAAGTGTGAAGAAACAAAAGCTTAGTTTTAGCATGTGTGCCTTCCTTTGCATAATGAGTCCTGGAATGAGATGGTGGCCTCAGTGAGAATGAAGAGTTTGAGTCACTGAAGGGAGACCCCCCCCATGACCCCATGCAGATCTGGGATGCTTTTATAAGTTCTGGTCACAATTGTCTGAGAAGCAAGGTGACAAATGAGAAGAAACCTGCATGACTAGAGGTCTGTAAATCACACCCTCAGTCAAATGATAACAAGAACTCAGGTAATTGAGCCAGAACAAAACAAGAAAGCAAATTAATAAGAAATTCCCATTGTTTAAAAATATGTAAACATCTACTTTGCAAAAGAAAGATAACCTGATACATAATCATTTGCTCATTCATTCAGTCAGCCATTTATGACACACTCGCATGTTTGGGTGCTCTGCATGAGCTGTGAGTGCAAAGATATGGTCCCTCTCTTCTGAGGGCACAACATCTCCTGAGGTAGGCTACAAAATAAACAAAAGATGACAGCGGTATTGATTGAAGCTCAGGGGGCTGTGGGGGACATATCATGGGGACAAAAAAGCCCTTATATCTGAAGGGAACCACTCCAAGGGAGTGAAAAGGTGGCATGAGCCGAGTCTAAGAAGATGAAAAAATGAGCCACATTGATGACTGTGGAGAGGGAGAACAGAATAAAGCATGCAAAAGCAAGGCCTAGAGGGTTTGAAGCCTTGCATGATTAGCATATCTGGAATGTGGGCAGCAGAAAACAGATAGCTGGACCATGGTGGTGATTCAGGAGCAGTCTTTGGGGACCATTGATTCTGGGCTAGCTCCCACTGATGTTGAACATTACAAAAAGGCCTATCTTCATGGAGAGTGACCCACTGGTCTCTGGAAGATACTGCCTGGGGAGGCACTACCTACTCATCATTTGATCTACACAAACAGCAGGGGAATCAGCCACTGTCACTCTTACCAACAGCAGAAAGGGGGCTGTTTACCATAGAGGAGATGTCATCTAGAACTTTGACAATTACTATTTTAACACACCTGAGACCTGAGGGCTGAAACTACTAAAACCTCATCACTATGCACATAAGAATAAAATCCCATTGCTACAAAATCCAGGCAGCTCGGAGGATCCTCTGGTTTTACTGGAATCAGATAGAAACTTGTACTATTTGAAATAAGTGAAACATTGGCTGGGTAACTTTTACTGAAAAAAAAAATGTGTTCTGATCCATTAACCCATAGTCACTTTATAGTCAACACATTCTTGAAGAAGTTCAGTAATTAGAATGAGTATCAGTTCTTGTTCCCCATAATGTTATTAATCAATTCCAGGCAAATGAGTGAGGCCAATGAGCAAGGTTACTGATGACTGATTTTATTATGTGCATGTGGAGACAGAAGGGTGGTAGCTGGTGATGACAGTAGTTATGTCACCATTCCCCCTTGTATCCCCAGTACCCCAACATGCAGCACAGTGCTTTTACTGCCTGGACTCCCAACAACTCTCTGATAGATGTGAGTAAGTAATACACTGTGACCCAGTTATTTGAACCAATTGATTGAACAGAAGGTATTACCAAGATCTGAAAGAGTTTCTATGAGAAAATGATCTTAAAATGCGAAGGGCAGAAACTCCTCAAAACTAAACTACTCTGTCCTAGCCTTGACAACTATTATTCAGTGCCAGCAAGATGGAAGCACTTAATCATTAAGACAGCTCAGAGCAGATGTAGATGCTCCTCCCATGGTTTGCCTACAAGCGCAGGCACTGGGAGTGAAAAGTGCTACAAGACAGTAAACAAGAGTGAATGATGAATGGAAATGTTTTAAAATGGAGGAGATGAACATGGGCGAGGCTCTGGGAATGTCATCCACTTGATGGTATCTGACCTCTCTATTAATAAGCCGTTGGAGGAGGCCAAAGCCTCATTGATTCTATTTACAGAGCTGAAATTGAAAAGTGTCTTTCATACAGACTGGAGGGTAATGTTGTGCAGGAGACCCAGGCAGGATTTTCAGAGGTTGCAAATCTACCACCATAGTCCAGCTCTCTGTGTTACAATGAAGCTCCACAGGTGCCCAGCCATGCCCATCTGTTGATTGCCTATGGCTGCTGTTCTCTTGCAGTGACTCCTGGTTGAGATGAAGGGGCTGGGACTTGTGTTAGGGAGAGGAGGTGATATATGATGGAGGAATGGTGAATGTTGCTTCTTTGGACAAAACACAAGACATCTACTGGGCTGGATTCTATTTGTGTTTGTATCTTCCAAAGACTAGGATTCCATGGCTACATGTAGCAGGCAGACAGATTGCTCTGGTTTCAAGTGCTTAGGTTTAATACTAAGAGACAATCTCTTAGCTCCAAGACCACACCAATTCAGAGGTCCTCAAATCAACAGTGATTGCATGTACTCCCATATTGAGTTCAGAAATTTCTATCACTGAACTATTATAAAAATGTCTATAGTTCTGTTTCTGTGACTCCCCACCTGTGACTCGTGTGGTCAGTGCTAAGTCATTTAACCTTTCTGTGACTTAGTTTCATCATTTATAAATTGGTTACGTCTAGCTTTCAAGTAATTCTCTTTTTTTAAGGATCAGAGTGAATATATCTGTATCTGTCTGGAACATAATAGGTGCTCAATATATGATGAATTATCATTGTTGTTATTATTTCAGGATACCTTCACAGGCTAATGTCTTTTTCTTTCACCGTATTAGAAATGGTCAAGGCAATGTAATGGATTTCACAGTGGAATAGCTTATGAGTGAAGGAGAAGTCCACAGTAATATACTGAATGGTAACCACTGCTGTGGCAAAGAGTCCTTTTGTTTTTTTTAACCAAAGAAAGCATCCTATCCACTGGAGTAAGGACAATAATATGCATCTCTAAAATGTGCAAGCTGCCTCAGGCATTGAGCTGTTATGTGTCTGTGTCTTAATAATCAGTAAAATTAATGAGAAGCGAGGAGGTAGCCTAAAACAGGAAAATAAGCTTCTTCATGGTATAAGAAGTTGAGGTTAATTAGTCTTTCAAGGGCAGAAATTTAAATGTAAAGAGAAAGGTTGTGCAGGAAGTTGGGCTGGGCTGGGAGCAGGAAGCCAGAGCACAAGGGCACCAGTCTCATGGCTTTGGTCCTAGTTCTGCCTTTAATTAAGCCTTTTACTCCAGCCCATCTATTCCTGTGACTGCCCTGGGCACAGCAGCTGAGGAGCAGATGGCCTCCATACATTCTGCCCCTTCCCAACACTGCCACCTTGCTGCACGACAAAGAACTTGGTTTCACTTATTGGCTATTTGATAGTGGGCAAGTGTTTTGTTTTAAATTTCTTTATGCATTCGTTTTTTACCCATAGCAATGATACTAATATTTCCCACATGGGGGTGGGAAGGAAAAAGTAACATTTGTAAAGCTCCTGACACCTAACTCCTTCCTACAAGGGAGAAATTATTAATTTTCTAAGATGATTTGTTATTTCAAGCTCATTGGCTGCAAGCTCTTGTGTATGGTAAGAGGACTGAGTGGACCTTTCCCAGTGACTCTGACATCACACTGTATACTATATAGAACTGTTTGGCCAACTTCTGTACATGATGAGACTATGTGATCAACTGGTATAGTTTGGTTCAAAACATGTTGGAAAATCAACACTTACTTTATCAACTGCCAAAAAATATCAAGCAATTAAGGGACCTAAATTTAATGAAGATTAGATATAATAGGTGCTTATGAATCCAGATGGTTTAGTTGCCACCAATTCACTAAATTATCTGGCTTGGTGATCCACCTGGACCTCCACTTTCAGGGAGGAAAACTAGCATTTTACATATATGGCACCTGTGACCTAGAATGGTTAAACAATTTGACCACATCTGCATGCTTGGCTAGTTGCAGAGAGCACTAGAAACTAGAGCTTCAGCTTCCTAATGCAGTCAGGTCCCACGATTCAACGTGGTCCCATGATGCAGGGCTGGAAGTCCTTGATCCTCTTGTTTCCACTGAACCACGAGATGACCTCACCCAGGCTCGGGGTTTTTATGCTGTCTGTACTCTGACAGTTTCCAGATGTTCAACATGATCCCCTCTCCAGAACTCCAGATATGCACACCTAGCTACCTAGTCCTCATCTCTACCTGGCTATCATTCAGGAATTTAGACACAGAGATGAAATCATGTCCTTTCCCTCACCCCAAACACATTTTAGCCACAGTGATCCCCTTCCCAGTCAACAATGGCTACATTCTTCTAGTGGATCGTTCCTAGACACGTAAGGGTTTATACTCTATATTTAGAAATTTTAGCTTACGCTACAACGGCCCTTAAATTCTATTCCAATTCAAGCCCTTGTTACCCTTCTTGATTACCGTTAAGTTCCTGACTTACAAACAAGTTCCATTCCAGGAGAAGATTCTCATAAGTCAGATTTGTTCTTAAATCTGAGAAAGTGAGTCTCACACACCTTTGACACAAATATAGTACTAGTTCCCCCTGCTCCCATCACTTGTGTCCTGCTGTTCTCCTTCCTGCTCATTGAGTCACTTGGTGTAGTACTGCCTTAGGGATCCACATGGATTGTTGTCCCTTCCTCCCTCAGGTAACTGCTTCATAACAACCCGACTTTCTTCAGGTCTTTGCTCAGATGTTACCTTCTCCAGATATAACCTTCACCATCTATTTGATTTTTTTAACCCACCCCGCTGATAAGCCTCACTCTTGATTCCATTTACCCTGCTGTTTTTTTTTCTTTTGTACTATTTACTTTCTAATATCCTATGTAATTTCCTTATTACAGTCATTGTTCCTTGTTTATCTCCTGTTGCTGGAAAGTAAGCCCCTAAGGGAACAAATCTTTATCTGTTGATCATTAATAAATCACAGGTAGTACCTAGAACAGTACTGTCAAATGGTAAGTACTCAGTAAATACTTGTTGAACAAATGAAAGCATCTGGTGTTTTTGCAAATGGTGTATTGGGATAGTATGGAAAGGACTGTACTTTCCTGGGATATCTGCAAATGTGGCATTCACCATGGGGACATGGTGAGAGGGAGGGCTCTCTTCCTTCTCTGATGGGTTAGGGACCAACTCTGCAGGGCACCATTCCCCTTTCCTTGGCGGCATATGCTCTGCTGTAAACCGCAGCAGCAGCTGCTAAAGAGCAGTAGAGGAAGGTAATACATAAATTTCTATTTCTACTAATTTTTATCTTGTTGTTGTAAGTTTCCATTTACATGTTTTTAATCTCCACAGATATGTGAATGCATCATATATGCAAATAATTTATAAATAAGCATTGGTGGCATGTGATCAAAAACTTTGAAAACCACTGTCTACAAAATTATGAAATCCTATGAGGGTTCAGGACATCTGGCAGTTTTGCAGCAGCAGTTTGTATTACTGTAGCAAACACATAGCTGGAGAAGGGCTTGGGCCAGCCCAGTCCAACCCAGTGGACTACACAGGCAGTAGGGTGGGAGCTTAGAAGTTTCTCTCCTGAGTTAGTGCAAGAGTGCCTGACCTCCAGAGCCTTTTTCCAGAGAAGACCCCACTAACTCCCCAGGGAGCTTCTGGACTCCAACACCAGATTCTTCCCCAGCACTTCCTCCAGCTTGTCTCCTCATGCCCTCCGCTGGTCACAGAACAGTAGATTGCCCTGGATCTTACAAGACTGCAGGCAGAGCTGGCTCACCTTCTCATAGTACCGGATCTCATAGTCCAGGATGATGCCATTGGGCTGCTCCGGCTGTGGCCATGATAAAGTGATGCTCCTCATGGTAGCACTGACCTGGTGCATGATAGGAACAGTGGAGGGGGCTGTGGAGAGAGGAAGAGACAAGGTAGCTGAATAGATGCTCAGTAGTAGAAGTGCCACTTTCAGAGATAAATTGGAAGAGAAATGTCACTGGGTTTGAACCCTGTCCTTTCTCTTTCATCAGCTGAGCTGGATCTGCAGAACTTTCTGTGGGTTTTGCAGAATGAATGGAGTTTGGATAACAGAGGAGAGAAAAGATGATAATTTAGCAAAGGAAAGCAGAAGCTGAAATGGATGTGCTATATTCACAGCAGAGCAGAGAAAGGCTTGTTCAAAACAAGAGAGGGTTGGAGGAATAAGAGGAAAAGTGAGAAGAGAAAAAAAGAATGGAATAATTTGGAGCAGAAAGTAGAAGGAAGAGGAGACCTTAGGGCAAGAGATAATAATGAGTAAGAGTAGAACTGGTTACTGTGGAATTACTTGCTATGCAACAGAAAGAAGCATTCCAGCAAATATTTCTTTCTAATACTGCATGTACAATTTTACTTTGATACAGAAGGAAAAGGTGTATCTTTCAAGAAGACATAAACATAGACCAACAACAGAGGTACTGTCAGAATTTTCCAAATGAAGACATTTGCAATAAAGAGCTCACAAATATAAATGAAGAAGTGATACACAAACCAAACGTTTGGAAACAGGATAATAATTCCAAGAACTGCAAAGGTGATTAGGAGATGTCTGTTTGGAAATAATATTTATTTCCTGATACAACCTTTTTCATACAATGTAAGTAGAATCCAAACAGTCTGGAAATAATAAATGAGGGCTGTCTTTCTAAGGGAAGAGGTGGGTAATGGATGATGCTCCCGTCTATGCTCTGCTCAGTCCTGGCACTTCTGCAATAATGAAGGTCATTTCTTCTCTCAATCTCCACTTCCCAGGGCTTTCTCTGGGGACCATGGCTGAGTGACATTTACTATCCTCCATTTAAGTTAATAGATTCCCTCCAAGACCTGGAATTACAGAGCATAGCTAGCAGGTCACAGGGAGTGGGTGCTGCCTTCTTCATCACATGTTGGATGCTCAGTGATTATCTACTGCCTGCAGTTTTGCAGGGGGAAGGGATGCAGATCAGGTGTTTTGAAGATGTTACTAATCAGGAGAGTCATACAAAGAAGGGTGAGGGGTGTCATGTTGATGCCTTAGAATCAGTAAACTCTGGGACTCTGAAGGCCAATTTGCACTATTCCCACTAAAGCACCTATGCTGGCTGTGAAAATGCACCTCTCAGAACATCCTGTCCCTAGGAGTGTAATTGACTAATGGCCTCAGATACTGTGCTCTGAAGTTTATCACCATGGTCACACAGAGGTCTGGTTCCCACAGACAGCTCTCAGCCAGTGACTGAGAGTAGCAGACCCATCCCAACATGATGTGGGGCTCTTCTAGTGGGTAACTTTGGCCCAATGAATCCCTATTGGCTTTTTCGATCTTCTTTATAATAGCACAGCAGTAGAATACTCTTCCATCCAATCCTCCTTCATTCCCTCCCTCCTTCACAGAGATCAGACCTTCATAGTGGTCTGATGGCTGTCCCAGATCCTTCTTGTTCCTATCTTGTTTCTGCAATAAATATTTTGGATATCTAATTCCATCTTGGTGTTGGGTTCACGGAAGACCTGAATTAATGAAGTCTTAAGTTCCCCTGAAATCTTTGCCTGTCAAATATGTGTTCCTAATCTCCTGGTGTGCCCTTGGGAATGGAAGATTCACTGCCTCTGGGAGCTACAGCTCTATAGTTCAGTTCCTCTCACCAATTTACGTATCTTGCTTTTCCTTATTTGAAATTTGTCTTCTTCCCATTGGTCTTAGATCTACCCCCCAAGGTAACACACGATGTTCACTCTTCCACAGCATAGCTTGTCACATATGTAAAGAAGCTAGTTAGATCATCCGTGAGTTTTTCTCACTGAAAGGAATAGCGAGATATTACAAATATTTCTCCCATGAATATGACTCACTGGTACCCAAGGTGGCTCTTTTCCAAATGGCAACCATGTTTTCCAGGGGATCCCTCTCAGCCAGGATGCCCACAGATGAGTTCAATTCTTTCCCCATTTTTTGAGCTACAAAAAGAACTGTAATACTTATATCTACTGTGATCTATGGGCTATATGTGCATTAACACAACAATTAGATTTTCAGATCAAAAACGTGTCCTTGCCCTTCAGTTCCAAAATCACAGTCATGTATGACCTGCAGTAGCCCCAAGGAATGTTCTTATCTTTTGTCTGTAGAGTTGGTTTTCAACTATGGGGATTTATATCTATCGCATTACCATTATGGTATTAAATTTGGCCTATTAATTCAAGTTAAAATAAATTTTTTTTCAGTACCTCGAATTGAACTCAGGACCTTGTGCTTGCCAGGCAGGCTCAGTGCTGCTGAGCTACATTCCCAGCCCAATTTTTGATCTTGATTTAGATATCAAGTGTATTTTTCCACCTAATTTAGTATTATGGCCCAGGTTATTTAGTTAATTAAACAAATGATTATTGAGCAACTGCTGTGTGCAAGTCACCATTTTAGGTTCTAGAGACACCATTATGAACAAAATGAAATGTTTTATTCTCCTAGAGCTTATTTTCTAGTGGAGTTCAGAGACTAGACATAATAAATGAGACACAGTATATTTAAAGATGAGTACAATGGAAAAATGGCTCATAGGGAAGAGATATGGAATGCTACTATGTGTGTGGCTAGGAGAGGCCTTCCTGAGAAGCAGATGCCGGAGTACAGGGTTGAGGGAGCAAAGAGGAAGCCATGAAAATGTCTGGTGTTAGAGTCAGATCTAGAATTTTACTCAGGAGTTCAGAGGTGGGACTTTTAGAATGTGATTGGTTCATTGGCTCGTCAGTGGACTGATCTACTGATGAATCCATAGCTGAACGTGCTGTTAGGAGGTGGGCCTGGTGAGAAGAGGGAGGTCAATTAAAGCATGACCTGGAAAGATATAACTCCCTCCCCGGCCCCTCCCTTCTCTCTGCTTCCTGGATGTCATAGGATAAACAACTGTTCTCTACCCAGGCCCTTCCACCGTGCCGTTTTTGCCTTCGAACCTGCCTACCATTGACTGAAAACATGAGCCAAAATAAACCTGTCCTCCTTTAAATTATGAGTATTGAGTATTTTGTCCTTGCAACGAGAAAGTGGCTAAGATATCTGGGGAAAAGCATTTGAGAGACAATGGCCAAAGCAAAGGGTCTGACTTGGGAGCACCAAAGAACCAGAGGAACGAGAGAAGAGAGGAGGCCCCGGTGGGCAGGTCCTTTGGCTTGAGTAATCTGGGGATCCAGCCAAGGGAGGATTTCGACAGAGCAGAGACATGATCTGATTTACATGCTAATAGTATCGCCCTCAGTTTACGTTGAAAGGAGAATGTGGGGGTTTTATAAACCCAGAAGAACCTTTCAGATGGTGGTTGCTGGGAGGCAATGATTATTTGGACCAGGCTCCAGGCAGTAGAGATGGTCAACTTCTGGATATGCAGATGATCCTTGACTTACGTTTTTCAACTTTATCATGGTGTGAAAGTGATACACATGCAGTAGAAACTTTATTTCTAATTTTGAATTTTGATATTTTCTCAGGCTACTGATATGCTATATGAGGCTCTCTCTTGGTGCTGGGAATTAACAATGAGCCACAGTTTCCAGAAAGTTATTCAAACATGAGGATAAATAACCCATAGAGTGTAATGCATTGCCAGTGTTTCCTGGATACAGATGTTCAATAAATTATAGGAGATATTATACGCTATTATGAAACAGGCTTTGTGTTGGCTTATTTTCCCAACTATAAGTTTATGTGATTGCTCTGAGCACATTTAAGCTAGGATAGATGACACTATGATGTTAAGTAGGTTAGGTGTATTAAATGGATTTTCAACTCATGATATTTTCAACTTGTAATGGTTCTTTGGGATGTACCCCATTGTAAATTAAAAAGCACCCATACTTAGAATATCTCTATAGATGTGGGATATAGAAGACACAGAAGGGTCAATATGACTGCAAAATTTCTCTCTTCACAACTGAAAGAGTGAGGCTGCCATCAACTGAGATCAGGATAGACATCAAAGAAGAAATTGGGAGGAAATACCAGGTGTTTCACTTTGGACCTGTTAGGTGTGAGCTAGCCACTGAGTCTCCAGGTGGCTTCTGAGTAGGCAGATTAGAGATACCAATTTGAAGCCCTTAGTTTTTCAGAGAAACAGAAAGCAGCAGAACCGAGAGATCACCAAGAGCACAAGTAGGATGGAATACGTTTTAAGATGCAGGAGATGAGGTAAAAACAGCTTAAGCAAGGCCAGTTAGATAGAAGGAAACCTGAGAGAGTGCAATTGCCTAGAAACCAAGTGGGAGATAAGAGTTCCCAGGAAGACAACATATGTTAAATGCTGCTGCTAAGTCAGGTAAAATGAAGCTTGGAACCAAGTCCCCAGTCTTGCAACAGCCTCCATGGTTAACCACGTGGATGGCACACAGTCATCTTTCCCAAAACCTTGCACGTGCCGAGCAGAGCTGTGGGAGATGAGATTCAGTTCGGGGAAAGCGAGGCAGGTTTCTGGAGTTATAGTCTATACCACTGATAATGGTGTGAACAAAGGGCACCTGGTGACACTGTTTCCTCCACCACATACTGCCGTCCGGGCTGCCCCTGCCGGTCTAGGTGGAAGCATATGGCTGTGGACTGTGGCAGCACTGTACAGGTTTTCAGAACTCACAAAATTTGGACTTATCAACCTGAATAGCCTAAGGACTTCCCTAGACTTGGTTCATCTTCTAGCCTCTATTTTCCAGAAAGCTAACATTTAATACTCCATATATTTTCCAAATAACATGCCAGGCCTTCTATAGTCACTGAGGATAGAAAGATCAGTAGAAGAATGATGACCTCGTCTTCCGTGCCCTTGGAGTCCACTGGTGGCTGGGCCGTAAAGAGACTAGCATGAGGGAGGGTGATTCAGAGCAATCAATAGCCAAAATTCATTGAGAGA